GTAAGCTCTTCTGGTTGGGGCATTATGATTGTTAAATATTACATGTGTTTTTGGATTTTTGGGTATGTATGCATGTATATAACCCATATTTCTGCAGGATTAATTTCCATTTAGTACATTCAGAGCTGCAGGTCCAAAGACACTGGGTTGAATCCAAAAGTGCCCTTCTGTTAACAGGAATCATTTTTCTGCACAAAAAAATGACATGGATCCAGCGTCTATTAACAAAAATTGGTAAAGGAAGCAATTTTCATTTATTCCTTCTTTGGCTCTACATTGCAACTCCAACACTGTCCTGGAAGTAATCTTCTGGAAAAGATTTTCAGGGTGCATAAGCTTGGGACTCTACTCACAAAATGCAGAACCCAGCTGACTTGAACTGTTATTACAACTCTGACCTAAGATTATAGTTGTCCAACTTCCTCACACTTTAACCTCTCTTTACAGACTTATGAATTCCTTCCTTCAGCCTTAGGTGGAATCACAGTTAAATCTGTTTCTTCTGCCCACCATAACTCATTTGAAGCCAACCAAAGCTAAATACACTGTTGGTCCTGCAAGCTTTAGGATGAAATGCAACAGAAAAGTCATCTGAAAGATTTTAGCTACTAAACTTCTCTTGAATTTCCTGCAGGCTGAAACAAGGGCACTGCCTGAATATTATGATGACCCTATATTTAATCTTCAGTGGGTGTTCCACACAAGCACGTTATCACAAAACAACTGCATTTCTCACAGGAGACCTGATTCTGTCAAGCAGTTCCAATGTTTGTACCTAAACATAAGCATGCTCCACTTACAGTAAAAAAGAATTGGATCTCATCTGCTCCATTCTGCTTGATAAAGCACTTTACTCTGTAGTTCTTCACCTGATACTACAGTTCCCGTCTGCTTTCAGCCTGCCTTTGGTACACAAGTAAACAAAATGTTTACATAACTAGGACTTAACTTACTGTACACATACATATATCAGCTGTGAAACAGCACTTGCACAACTTTTAAAAAGAGTATAGCTATAGGACTATTCTGTACCACAACTACTCTAAAATATTGTCGATATTTACTTACATCCAGACTACCATCCTACAAAGCCCACAGGAGACATCAGAGCCATTTGTCTATTAACGCAACAAAGGGAAAAACAGCACTATGAGAACTATTCATTCCATCAGGCTGAGATGAGAGTGAAAATGGAGTCAATTCCCTCAGCCTTACTGAAATAACCAATTTTGTTTCCTTCCTGTTCTCCCATCCCATTTTTCTTGTATGTCACATCTTTTGAGATTGTAAGCCCATAGGCAGGAACTGTCTTTATTAAACTGTCTTTAATTTATTATATGTAAGCCACTCTAGGAGTTCTTTTGGCTAAGAAGTAACTTAAAACAAATTCTAAATATAATCATCATTGTTCCCACTAGTTCCCACTTCTAAATGCCAGTTCCAGTTCTCCCACCCAATCTTTGCTAACTGGCCATATTTCAGGATGACAATATCCAGTCAAATAATTTTAGTACTATTAACTGTATAAATTCTAGATTTGTTTATGAAGGCAGACAATAGTAAATCTATGACATAGAGTTAAACTAGCCATTATTAAAGCCATATCATTTCCATCTCCATATAGAAGGCCCAAATCTGAGAAGCAATAGTGAAGTTGAACTATTATAAAACTGACATCTGAAATTTATGCTGACTGTGTGGTACTGGGTGTAAGAACCAGTGTAATGTAACAGATAGAACACCAGAGTTAGACCTGGAATCAAATTCCCACTAAGTCACAAAGTTCACTGGATGACCTTGAGCCTGTATCTTTCTCCCAGCCTACCTCCCACCCCGACCAAGAGTTGTTGCAAGAGAAAAACAGGGGGAAACTACATGTGCACTTCCATTATTTTCTTGGCCAGTATATAAAAATAACAAATGAATAAAAGTGGACCAAACCTTTCATTTTGAATGATGTTTATAATTCATAATATCCAATATCTGGTCCTGAGCATTTGAACTCATCTTCACGTAAGGCTGAGGGGAGCACAGTTGGCGCCAGTTATAAACAATATGTAGTTTGGTGACTGTTCTCAAAATTCTACAGAATTATTTTGAGAAAGTTGCAAAATTAATCCTCATCCACTGAAATAAGGTCAAAAATATGATGGGTACAAGTTTACATTATTTAACAAAAAGGAAAAAAGAACCATCATACATTTATTTGACTTGAACACTTCATCACAGGGGTTAACACTGTCAGAGCTCCCACTATGCCAAGCTAGGCTTAACTCTCTTTCCAAACAGTGCCATCCAGAGCCAACAATTGCATACTCTTACAAAAATCAGAGTTAAAAGGCTGTGTGCTACATGCCTTCTAGCAGTGATCATTCATATTCAGGACACACCCCCATATTTTATGTCACTGCGAAGAAAATGAAATATTTACAGTACACAACATGTCTGGCCTGTGCTGAATTATATGTGAACATAGCCTCCCAAACATGGATTCCAAATCAAATAAATTCCCTCACTAAAAGATGAGTAACCTATCTTTGCTTGAAAAGCTCACTGGGAGGATGTGAAACTGCTGAGAAAGCAAAATGTACAATTAATTTGTTCCACAGAAACAATGTCCTCAAAGCACACTCATAAAGGCTGTTCACTGCCTTGACGTTTTCAGTCCTCAAGACCAGGAATAGTCAACTAACACATAAAAATGAAAGATTAAAGCAAGGGTAAAATGAAGGCCCCAAAGCCATACTGTTAACTGCATATGTGAATTATACTGGTAAAAATACCTGCTTTTTAAAAGCCTCTCCTCTCTTGCATGTGAAGTGTTTAGCTTGTAAGCCAGGTCTAACAATACACCCAGTTAATATAAGGCAACACAAAGTGACTATGGCTGCAATCATATATGCACTCACCTGTGAGTAACTCCAACAGGATGTAATAGGATTTACTTTTGAGTAGATACATATAGGATTGCACAATATATTAACAGATGGACAGTTTCCTAGATGTGTATGTCAGATTCACTCCATTCAATAATCAACTATGTCAGACAATTGGGAATCTCTTTTTAGCTTCTCTTTGGTTCATTCCCATTGCTTCCAGCACAGTATTAACACAGGCCTCAATATGATAGCTGGCCCTTATCACAGCATTACATTTCCATGAGGAGAAGATATGCTCAGATGTAATTATTGAAGGATGTCCATTATAGGACCCTCTACACTGGACTGGATATAAAGTCCTCGCTTCACTGCAAACATGGCTCCAGTGTATAAGCTTCAATGCCACCTTGCACTTTTACTTGACTACTGTTCATTCTCAGAGTGTGTCCTATATCTTAATTGGACAAGAGACGAAAAAAGGGATGCCCATGGCCCATCGAACCGAACACTGTGCTATGTCAAAATTCCCAGAAAATTTTTAAACCATCCCAGACAGCCTATACAATATGGGCACTGTCTTAAAAACAACCATAACTTTGGAGCTTCCCTTTTTTATTTTGTACTGATATTTAGCATCAAGTTAAAAGCAATCACACTTTCATATAGTCTTATCTCACTTATCACAACTTCCCTACCATTTCCCATCAAAAGATTTGATCTTACATTCCTGAATACTTTTTTATTTAGATTTCCAACCATGCTTGAAGCCATCTCAGGAGGACAAGATGAATGAAGGTAATCGTACCACAGGGGAAGGCAACCTGTGGCCCTCCAGATGTTTTAGCATTCACCTCTAGCTAGGGCTGATAGGATGTACAGGCCAAAACATCTGAAGAATGACAAGTTACTCTTTGCAGTCACAAAAACTCAATAACAAATGTAGCATCCCCTTTCCCTTCCCTTCAACATTAAGAAATGTTCCCCCTCCTGAAAGATGAGGTTCTCATTTAATAACATGAATTTGCAAACAGCAACTTTATGCAAAATACTAAAAGCCTCTTTAATACAAATAATTCCCAATAAAGTCCAAGTGAAAGAGGAACCACTGTAGTGTAAGCATGCTGATCCTAAACATTCATAGGCAGCCCTCCCAATAAAAACTTGTTTAGGTAAATTTCAGTTTTGCACTGGGTACATTTAATTCACCTAATATAATTCCAAAATGCTGAACTTCAAGAACCTGACAAAAAGACTATTTAGGAGGCTGAATTTAAGTCTCAATATTGTGAAGGCTTAAATGACTGAAAATGCATACAAATTTCTTGATTAGCTGCTGAGTTTTTACTGTTGTTCTGGCCATGTGACACTCGGTTCTCCCATCAGTAGACTGACAAGTGTGTTCGGACTGAATTGCTTCCTACATCATAATCTTGAACAGTGAGTTGATTAATCCAGGATAATTACCACCGCAGTACCACACTTACAAACACAGATTAAAATCTGTCTATCACTCTGATTATAATCACCCGGGTTGCGAGGATGGCAAGATGCTTACGGGGGGTAAGTCGTTAATCTTTACAGTCCATCCTTAAAAATCTATGTAAAAATCTATTAATAAAGCACTCAAGAAACCAAACGAACGGAGAAAGTACAACTCAGGCTAGGATATCTGAACCTTGGGGGTTTTTTTCCCCCTAGATTGTGATAAGATCGTATGCCGAAAAAGGAAAGAAACGGAATCATCTGGCCCATCCCGTCCACGTTTGCTAAAGAAATAATTGGTTTTCTTTTCGAAGTCCAAGTGCTGGGCGGGGGTGGGGGGGGTGTCGTTTAAACGCACTCTCCCTTCTCTATTAGGGGCGAAAAGGGGAGTGGATGGTCGATTTAAGCCAGGGGGCGGGGAAAGCACTTAAATGGCCTTATAAATGCTGATCCAAAATAGGAGCAAAGAGGCGGGATCTGGATCCCAGGAAGAGCAGGCACGTCGTCCATTGCCCCAGCCCCCACTCTCCCTGCGCCGGGCCTCCACGTCTTGAAGGTGGGTCACCCCCGACGGACGGCGGCCTAAAAACCCGCGGCGCCCGCGTAATCTGTCCTGCCCAGCTCCAGCCCGCTGCTCACCTGCTGGTATCGGCCGCCGCTACTGCTGGGCTCGGCCGCCGCCGCCATGGCGCTGGGCAGGAACCGAGCGAGGGAGGCGGAAACGGAGCGACCTCTCGGAACGCCGCGCGCGCAGAGACCGGGCGGAGGCCCCGCTGGGGACGGCTCGTGCTCCCCCCGCCCCCCAGTGGGTGCTGGCGGCGCTGCGCTTGCGGGCGGAGGAAGGCGGCAGCCAGCCGGGCACTCGCTGCTGCTCCGCCGCCGCCGCCGCCTGCCGAAGCGCCAGCCCCTTTCCTTTCCCCTCCCTCCCGTCACACTCCGCCTCCTCCGGGCCTCGGCCGCTGCTCGCCAGTATCGACGTAGCCTGGGAGAAGCGCCGCTTTTGTGCCCTTTGGAAGACACACGCTCCCGTTCTTTTTGTTCATTTACTGCATTTCCGAGCTCAGCAGCTGCAGCTCTGTGGCAAGTTGACAAAGAATAAAAGCCGGAAAAGAAACGTTATAAAACCGTATAAACGCACAACACGCAGCGGAAGGCACACGTTTGGGAGCCTGCGAGCCTTCTTCATCCCAGGCGCGTGGGGCCTAAATCCTTTCTGCGCTGGACTTACATAAGCACCTACAAAACATTTGTCCGGTTTATAGATCAGGTCACTAATGCTAAGACGATCCCAAGAACAATGAAACTCATGAACCAGCTCAAACTATTACAGGAGACAAAAACTGGCCACAGAAATATACAACTAGGGCACATGGGGCCAAATCCAGAGGGCCATGAACCTTCTGGCTTCCACCCCTTTCTCCCAATCACTGAGCCTTTGGTGGCTTCGTGAAAGGTGAAATTGCCCTTGGGGAGGGGTTAGGTAGTGGCAGTAACAGCTTTAATCATGCTAGTGCTTGTTTGTATTCGGGGCCTCACTCTCTTTCCCTTGGCCCCGCCCATCACCGGTTTGACAAGCGCTTTTCATCAAACCAGACTGTCAGACTGAGTTTTCCTGGGATCTTGTAGGAGCGGTGATTAGAAACCCACCAAGTCTGAAAGCTAATCTCACAAGTGAAAATCCTTCCCAGAGTTCTACAATGCAAATACATGTGGCTGAGAACTCTGCCAGGGAAATTGGACTGTTGACAATCCCCACTTAGAGCAGGTGAGCTGGTAAACTCACCAGACCTTCAGCTAAAGACAGGATTCCCCACAGCCTGCCAATCCTTACATGGATGCATGCAATGACACTAGGATCCGATCCTTCACACACCTAGCAACTTGCAAAAACAACTTGGTCTGACCAAAGTACATACACTGCATGGTGGTGGACCAGGGTGAAAAATGCCAGCATAACAGCCAAAGTCCTGCTATTGTCGCTTCCTATTTTGCTTCTGGAACATCAGGGGTTTTACACTTCCATGAGTAGGTGGCAGTTATTCAGGATAGGGGTTTTTAGTTTCTTTCTCTGCAAATGAATATGCATCAACCATCTGAAGTTCTAGCAATTTGGAATTCTTTACCTTGCCCCAGCTGTATCTGTCTAGAACTTTCTTCCAGATAAATTTTCTTACATGTACAACTTCTTCTGCTGTAATGTGTTACCCCTCCATGTGCTCCCAATTCACAATTTACCATCCCTTCTGCAAAGTGTAAGACAGAGTCAGAATATAATATTGGTGATAGTCATTCTTCCAGTTTCTTTACCCACCTCAACATAATGGGGTCAAATAGCATAAGTGAAAAGCTATGTAGAAATTTCAGTGGAATTGAATCCATATATCTTAATTATATGGTATCATTAAGATACCTTATTTATTGTGTACATCTTAATTATTGTGGTATGGTAGAAAGAATTTCAGAACTTACCAGTGCACACTATTTAACCCAGTACTTTAAATGTCTTTGCTTTTGCTTCTGGCATGGAGCACTAGATTGTGTGAACTTTCAGTTATATAAAATTTACACCCCTGCTCAAACAAAATCAAGAATATTTAAAACTTTGTATGTGAAAGTAGATCTTCACAGAACTGTAAAATTGTGCTGCTTGTTTTTGTTAGAGTGCTGACACATCATACAGTCTTAGGTACCAAAATACAAACCGAATTGCAGATGCTACAAATTATTTTTAAGCTAACTGCAAATATTTTTAAGGTAACTTCATTTTGATACTTTTATATTTCTATTCATTTGCTAGAGGCTGATCTTACCATGCCAAGTGCCCAACAAAGCTTCAGTTGTTACATTTCTGGTATGTCACTGACAAGCCAAAAAAACTGAGAAGGGGGGGGGGAGAGAGAGAGAGAGAAGTAATGAGGGTGGGAATATTTCCAAAGATTTTGGAGTCTGCTGTTGAAAATATCAATTGCCAGAGTGATAAGTTGGTGACACTGATATACAGCATGTTATTTTAAGCTTGTACTTTTGGACTGTGTTCCAGGCATCTCAGGGACTCCTCAGAAGTGTATGGATTGCTCAGTGAGAAGATGTGGATGCAGGATAATATCAGATATATCCTAGTTCTAGACTTGCTTATCTCCTTTATTTACAGTTAATTGCATAGAAAAACCAAGAGCAGCAATTTAGCTAAAGTGTTTGTCAGTTTCATTGATTTCCATTAAAATCAACAGGATGGAAAAGTCCTAAACTGTGGTTGGATTATACCCCAGATACTTAGATTGGAATAGCAAATGTGATAGGTACAATGCAGCCAAGCTAAGCAGTTTTAGGCCCTGTTTATGTTGATAGAGAAGATTTACAGCTCCATCCTATATGCTTGCTCCAAAGACCAGTGTGCTTAGTGGGTCTTCCAAATAAGCATACGGGAATGCAGTCATAAGCACAGCAATGCAGAAACACTTAACTTTAGCTGAAACATATTCTAGCCTTTGAAAAATATAATTTTTTAAAACTCTTATCTATTAGGTGCTGTTGTGCAAGGCTGGAGATGCTTTTCTTGATGTTTTGATAATTGGAAAACATGTACATTCCTTTAGCTAGGAAAGTAGAAAAAGAAAAGGTCATGTGGTTGTGAGATATTACTTAAATAGAGGCTTTCTGCACATGTTACATTTGAGAACTAGTGTGGCATTTTGGTGTACTCAGAAAAGCAATTCTTCCCATTCCACCCCACTGCCCTGCCATAAACACATCAAAAGATGCCTCAGTGTCTGGTGGTGAAGACCAGATGACCCCACTCCATTAGTGGGTAACTGTCAAAGTGTAATCTCTGTGTTTTATAGGCTTGCTAAAGTGCCTCCCTAACCCTGTAAGTTCACACATGTAACTTTTTTGTTTACTTAACTTGGCCAGCCTGTTCAAGGCAACTTTAGAAGGCTTGTCAAAGGCATCTAATTAGAGTGAAATGTAACTTTTCGTTATGGTGCTATGACGTGTATCCAATCACTTTCCTATCCATATCAAAGTATCCGAGCACCTTCCTGTGTATTGTATTCACTTCCCTTTTGTGTATTCTATATAACCCTAAGGAAATTAACATGGGGTGTTCCTACTTAGGCACCCATGGATCCACGCATTCAATTGTAAATAAACCTATTTGCCTTGACAAGAAACTGATTTCCGAGCCTCTGAATTGTGAATCTGTGTGACAGTGGTTAGAGTGTCAGACTGGGAAGGTCTGAGTTCTGGTCCCCACTCAGCTCTGAAGCTCAGTGGGGACTTTGGGTCAGTCACTGACTCTTACCCTAACCTACTTCACAACAACCTTGTGAGGATAAAATGGAGAGGAGGAAGACCATGTAAACCATGGTGGGTTCCTTAGCGGGAAAAGCAAGCTATAAATGCAATAATGAATTATTTTGTACTGTGGTATTATTTGAAAGCTGCACATTGTAGTGTGCAATATGCCAATTAAAATGATTTTATGCCTGTTCATTTCCCTTCCTGCCAGTAGTTACAAATGAGCTTCTGACTTCATATTTTGATAGAAGGAAAATGCATAGATGTTGCTGTTTGGGACTTGGTGTTAACAATATAATGAGATTGTGTTTACTAATACTTTCTTGTAGTTACACATCTCACATATAAAGTAAATTTTAAATTCCCATTCATTTTTCTCTTCCTGTGTTTTACTGAACTGGAATTAATATGTATTGCTTGCTTAGCAAACACTTGATAGCTTGCAGAGCTGAGGAATGCTGCAGCTTTTTAAAGATCCCACCACCATACACATGCTTTAAAAAGGCACTCTTTAAAAAAGTATTGCTAGATCTCTGTTATCATAAGGCTAATACGTTTAAGTTATTATCATAAGTGCAGCTGATCTTTAGGTCTGTTTACATGACAGATTCAGCACAAGCAACAAACTTTAATTCCAAGGATTATTTGGGTGAAGCCATGATTGTTAAACTGCTATAAAAATAGTAGAAACTAAGATAGACATACTCTTCCACTCTGGGCTTATATGCAATTTTATTAATAGGGAATAGAAAGTGCTTGGAAATCTAAAGAGAAATCATGTTACACTAGAACACTAAAGATGCACCATCATTCTCAAGTGCATGATGCATTCTATGCAATGCTGATAGGCCTTGTGTCAGCAAAGGATAATGAAAATACATCTCTCCCAGTGGCATTAGACCAAGGATGAGCCTCTAGCTGTTTTGGCCTACAAGTCTTAGCCAGCAGAGCCAACAGTAATGGGGGAGAGGAGCTGTAGACCCAAATACCTGGAGATCCATGGGTTACCCATCCCAGGTAACACTCTGGCAAGCAGGGCTGGCTCTAGTTAAATCCCAAGCAAGAGAAAGAAGATACAGTGGTAGGTTTTGACTTCCATACTTCTACCCTAGAGAGCTTTCTCTGTGTATGGGAAGAGGCCTGTTTATATAATTTTTCAAGCAATACACGTCTGGAAGCTAGGGGATTCCTCTTCTCAGGCAGCCACTTAAATGTTAGGCTTGGTATTGGCAGTTTGCTTGCTTGTTTCTGCCAAGCCACGTTTAGGACTCTTCCAGAGAGAAGTAATATTTGTTTGATGAAAGGTAATATCTTCTCTTGGGTAATAAAGGCCTTTCCCCCACGCTGATGGTTGCCATGCAAAATGCACCAGCAGCACGTAGATACTGTCAGTGTTTCTAACATTTTCAATACAAAGCCTGTTCACGACAAGGTTGTCATTTTAATTCAAAGCAAATGATATGCTAACTTTTAACCTTCAGAGGAAATGAAGCTGACTTATTTTTTGTTACATTTGTGTAATT